GGCAGGAGGCACTGCAGTGCCTGATGGCAGCAGGAAGGAAGGATCCCCAACAGCACGTCTTAGAACACCATGGTGGGACGAGCTGTTGGCTAATGGTGCTCCAAGGCACCAGCTCATGATTGTGTGAGTCGTCTGTCTTGTACCCTAGGTTACCAGATTCACTGTAACCATATACTTAATGTACAGTTAGGGCTAATGGATAGATATTTGCCCTCAAAAATGTTGGCAGTTCAAAACTGGTGCATTACAGCATCAGGGTGCAGAGAGGTGATGTTGAAAGACTCCTTTAAGCCTCCTGGTCTACTAGGATTTAACCTGTTAATTGAAAAAAAATGGAGAAAATTGACAAATAGATACTTCGATGTAAACACTAAACAACCTGAAGCCAAAAACACAAATACATACCTCTCAATCTCGGGAGCCAGCCAGCCGTGGACGTCGGTGTTCCTCGTTCTGCTAAAAGGGGTTTTAGCTTCAGCCGGGAGAAGAAAGAATTTTTTCGATATTTCCATAATCTCATCAACCTGGACAGTGATAAACAATAAATAATTGTGACTTCATGGAGTTGAACTGGGTGGTCAGTACTTTTTGAACATTTGCAGCACATTTTAATAATATTCCGATAATACCGATAACCATGATAATTTAATATCACGATTATAGTGACCAAAATTTTCATACCGTTTCATCTCTACAAATAAGTGCTCAAGTTCATCCTGTTAGGTTTGCATGAATTTGCTTGTAAAATGTTATCACCTTATTCTGCTGGACAGCACACAAGCACTAACATCCTGAGTTAGGTCAAAAGACTTGGATGCATATTACTAAACATATACGATACATTACACAGTGGTCTGCACAGTTAATCGATGGGGTGTGTTTTTTAGGTCCAAGCAGAGTCAGTCAATTAAAGACTAAATTTAAAAATCAAGACTATAACAAGATTGACTGGAGATTAAGCTATGATGTTGAAGGACCCAGGTTCAAGTCTGGGGTTGGCCAGCATATTTTTTGAAGGGGTTCATGGCTTAGCGGGTTAGGATACTGTGCCCGTGAAGCCGGTTCACATTCTATGGTGAGTATAGTGATGTTGTAAGTCGCATGAATAAAAGTGTGAGTGAATGACGTCATACTTAGCGATCACGTGCCTCTTCTTGGCCTATGCCAGTGTTCCTCAGGTACACAAACCCAATTT